CAGGAATATAGCCTGCTTATCCAGTTGGCCTGGATATCAAGACGTCCATTGAGAAGGCACTGTAATATTCTTCCTTTCAGTTCCTAATAGATCCCGATCCCCCATGATCACAGTGGGGAACTTTCTGCCAGCACTGACAGGATAAGCAATGACAAATTAAAGGATTGTTTTAAATTCCAAAACATGGCATTTCTTTTATATTGCATTTAATGTGCCTAAAATCCAGTCAAGAGTCTTGAGAATCTCTGTACCACCACCTTTAGGAAGTGAGGAAAAACCATGTGAACAAGCCAATTCAGGCTCATCATGAGTATGACTGCAGTCATGTTCGAGGAAGTCTTATCTCAGAATTTTTTAATCGAGGGAATACCCTCTATTTGAGGGAATGAATTATTATTTCAAAATGAAAAAAGGACAACTTAAACAGGAAGGCAATTGGGAGAGAACAGATACAAAAGAGAATCCACAACACTATGTCCAAGCAACGCAACACGTAGGTTAGGGACAGAAGTTGCACATAAACCGGTTTAAGTGATCCAAAACTGGTTTAAACTTATAACATAACAGAAGTTCAGTGCACATAAGCCACTTTCAAAATGGCTGAAGCTAGTTTAAGATAAACCTGGTGAATGTAGTATCGGATTTAACTAATTTAGGTCAAACCGGTTTATGCAATGTCTGTCCCAGACCCCTTTCTGGTTTAAGTTACATCAGAGTCCCCCAGCATCCCAGGATGCTTTGCAGCCCTGAGCTGGGCTGTGCTGCCTGCTCCACCAGAGCCAGGTTAGCCCCACCCCCCTGTTCTCTAAATGGAGCAGTGAAGGCTGGCTCCCAAGGGGGTAGGGGTGGGGAACCCAGCTGGGGATGCAGTCCAGTCTGCCTGGCAGGGCCGGAGAAGCCCCTGCCAGATTTTTCCCTGCTGGAGTGGAGGGGGTGGAGGCCTGGGACAGCAGGCTCAGGTGGAAGGTAATTAAACCTCCCTGCCTCTCTACTCCCACAAGCACAGGACCCCAGATGGGGTCTGCCCAGCTTTTATCCCCTGCTTGCAGCTCAACATGACCCGGGACCCCCAAACCCTGCTCCCAGTCAGGGGGCAATCCTGCTGTGCCTTCCCAGTCAGGTGCAGAGCCAAGCCCAGCTAAGCATGCAGCTGGGAGAGCAGCTCCTGCCCAGCAACCCCTTCTACACGCTGGAGAGTGGTGTTTGGGCCAGCCCCAGTCCCTGTAATGGTACGCATGGCACAGGCTCGATCCAGCAGTGCCTGGAACTGAGCAAGGCACCAAGATGCTGGGCAGTGCAATGCTGGAGGTCAAGCTAGGCCAGGCATTGGGCTCCTTCACAGGCTCCAAGGTAGACGGGCACAAAAGCTCCCCAGGTGACAAGGAGGAGCAGGCTGCACCCACCACCACCATGCACCACTCACTAGATAGCCTCAACCCCAACCTGCCATACCCCAGGCCGCTGGGCGCTGAGTTGGCTGCACCCTGCTCACTCTTCTCCTACCCAGCAGTGGCGCAGCACAGCCCCATGTACCAGGTGC